TTATTATTATTATTATTATTATTATTATTATTATTATTATTATTTATTAATTATTTTTATTATTGTTGCTATCATTATGGCAGCTGCATCAATAAGTATTCCGTTTTGATTTATGATTTTCTTTCTTTTTTTTTATTTATAAACATGAGAAATTAAGTCACATTATCATAAAATAAAAGTTTTTTGAAATATCATTTCTTTTTTGTATGACCACGGAATCAGTGATATGAGAACAAAAAACAAGAAGAAATTCATTCGCATTAGACTATTTGAGAAGACAAAATTCGATCCAAATAATGTGTTGATAAGAATGTGAAGTTAGCATTTAAATTCAACAATCAATAGAATCTATTTTAAAGATTTCGAAAAGTACGGCAAATTAAAATTTAGTTCTGTCCTGTTATATGTATGAACGCGAGAAAGATTAGTTAACTGATAAAGTATGATAATTGTCATTTACAGGATAATAATGCTATTGATGCTAATTGAGGATTAATGTGACATTTAGTGAGCTTGTTGACAAAGATCGAGTAGGGAAGGATGAATAAAAAACTAAGGTAAATTTGATCCCTCCCATAATATCTATTATCAATTTTTCTGTTTATTTGTAATTGTAGGCTCAGTTTCCTCATATTATTTCAGTTTATTTTGATAAAATCATTGAATTTTCCCTTCAATCAAGTATAAAAGATATAAATTTTATGAGTAATGGAAGATTCTGAGTGATGTGACAACATTATTGCTACAATCCAATTCTGTTCGACCTTGAACATATTTTGAATGAAAAATAATTTATTAATTATTGCATTCATTTGCATATCTGTTACTAACGAACCATTACATAGTGCTAATAGTAGTTACATCAATAATTTATTTCCTTTCTGATTCATGATATATATTACTATTAGGTGAAAATTTAATAAACGTCAATTTTATAATTCTGTGAAAAAATTTTAAATTACTTTTATCGATATGAGCTGCTTAAAGATATCAGTTAAAAATGATACGATCAGCTGTTAGTAGTATTCCGTGATATGACTGAAACTATAGAATAAGAAAAACAAAAATTATTCCAGGGAGATTAAATAATCGATTTTCAAGTAAATTGATTGGAATTCCTCTCTTATCATCCGAGGATAATTGAAAAATAAGGGAAAACTTACATCTGACGGGAATAGGTAGATAAAAAAGAAAAGGGTGAAATCAAGATTTATCAACATTTTCCGAAGAAATCAAGATTTCATTCAATCATCCGTTAAGTATTAATTAATCATGTATGAATCAGTTAGCTGTCATATATAAATTTGGTGTGGTAAAAACTCACTTTTAAATTAAACAATGATTTACAATTTATTTAATTGTTATTAATTTAGTGATAATTAGAACAACGATGAATTATGGTTGCAACGATTAAGGTGATTATAGTGATATTTATGAAGATAATGCTGCAAAATATTTGTGACACAAGTTGAAATGGATGAATCAAAACTAGTTTAGAGACCATTTTCGTTGTCATCAACATTATCATCTTATCACTAAAGCACGTTTGTTCTCACCTAAGAACCTGTTATATATATATATATATATACATATATATGGAACAATTTCACGATCAGTATACCATTTAATCAACCCCTATGCCATCACCTCTATCTGACACTGTTATAATTAGTCTATTCTATCACTATCGTTATCATTATCAAATTTAACAAAATATATATTAACATGTTTAGTTTATCTTAAACACTTTTCCTGATACTGATTATTATTTTAAACGAATATCACTGCCGTATCGGAAGTTGCCATTCACTTCATTATCAGTTTGTCCGATTATATATAGCTTGCAAAAAACGGATCCGAAATATATCTTAAAATAGCTTATCCGTTCATTATCCTCTCTTAGCCCATCTTCACTCTAATAAAAATAAATTATAGCGACTTATAACTATCAAATCTAAAATTTTGCTCAAATAAAGTACCACAAGTGATAATATATCGCAGTGTCCTTCAACATTTCACCTACGTCCACTTGTTGACTCTTCTCTTATAATATCCTCTCTTCATTGTCACATTGTCACTATTAGTGCCCTTCACAATTGTCAAAATTTAATCCGTTAACCACTGTTGATCATTCCAATACAAATACACACACCTAAAATGTTTCATCCAATTTCGACAATATTTAATTGCTTAATTCAAGCGGCACTTAATTAACTGTAACGTATTGGTGACATAAATCCGGAAACAATTTTTTCAGGTAAAGCCTAATGAAATAAAAGTATCTGATCTGAACTAATGCTGTTTAGCGATTATCATCACATCACGTAGTTTTTTATTACTTACCTATGAATTCTCACTTTTAGCCACCTATTTTTTATTTACGTGAACCATTCAAAATGTATAACTTAAACAAATATAGTGCATAAGGAAAAAATGTTGCACGTGAAAATGATTAGTTAAGGAAAAAATGTTGCACGTGAAAATGATTAGTTAAGGAAAAATGTTGCACGTGAAAATGATTAGTTAAGGAAAAAATGTTGCACGTGAAAATGATTAGTTA